GCCCTGGTGAGACCTCACTTGGAGTATCGAGTCCTTATCGTGTCAATATTGTGTTCTGGGCTCCCCATGTTAAGAGGGACAGAGATCTACTCGAGAGAGTCCAGTGAAGGGCTACGAGGATGACTGGGGGACTGGAACACCTGCCTTATGAGGAGAGGCTGAGAGACCTGGGGCTTTTTAGTCTGGAGAAGAGAAGACTAAGGGGGGGATCTAATTAATGTGTATAAATATATGAGAGCTGGGTGTCAGGAAGGAAGGGGCAATCTCTTCCCACTTATGCCCTGCGACAGGACACGGGGCAATGGTCACAAGCTGGTGCACAAGAAGTTCCACCTCAACATGAGGAAGAACTTTACTGTAAGGGTTCCAGAGCACTGGACCAGGCTGCCCAGGGAGGTTGTGGAGCCTCCTACCTTGGAGACTTTTAAGACCCGTCTGGATGTGTTCCTGTGTGACCTGCCCTAGACTAGATGGTCCTGCTCTGGCAGGGGGGTTGGACTCGATGATCTCCAGAGGTCCCTTCCAACCCCTGACATTCTGTGATTCTGTGATATTTGGGCTCTATAAGGGTCACACACAAAGAATCCACCATGTTTCCTTCAGGAAGTCTGAGATGTATAAACCAAAAGACTGTAACATAACAGCACAGAAGGGACATGCAAACCTAAAGCAAACTTCCCCAATGATTTGCTTCATAAAGGTAAGGAAGTAATTAAATTGCTCAATCCATTTCGGACTATCTTTCAAGAAAAGCAAGTATATTTGCTCACTTTAAAAGTATGTAATTCTCCTGTGACTTACCTCAGAAAGATCATTCCCATTCTAGATATAGTAGCAGGAGAGGCACAGCTGAGGTCATGTGTTTCAAATATAAAGTTGACATTTGAGCCAAATTGAATTCTCTCTCCACTGGGCATAGTCAGCAATCTGTTGTCATCCAAAACTGAATTCAAAGATTCAATCCATTCAGGATCAATATCACCATCACAAATGATCCATGAAGTAACATCTATCTCCAGACACAAAAATAAAATATCAGACCCAAGGAAAACACTTAAAGAACACCAGCCCTTCCTATTTTAACAATATTTGACACTCTTCCTTCTTTATCACTTAAATATAAGCTCTGTGAAGATATTCCACATATGCTTTACCTTCTACTGTCTCCTTTTGCTTTCTTATCATAAAATTTGGAAAGTATATATAAGTGTTCTTGACTATGATCGCCACCAAAATTTTTTCTTACCTCACGCTATCCGCAAGAAATAACGTACCGTAAAAATTAACTGCAAATAAACAATTTCAGTAACGTAAGGAAAATGATGTCTCAGTCTCTCACAAACATACCTCGGGGTTCCCGTACCACTTGTCGAGCACTGTTTGTGAGCACACCATCAGACCACTCTCTGGTGTCCATGTCAATGTGCCCCAGCAGCTGATGCCGAGGCATGGCCTTGGGATTGACAGCGTACTGCCTCACGGCTCTGCCCGTTCTACCCAGCGCTGCCTTCAGCATCCGCCACAGCGTCGATTTGCCTCCGCCACTTGGGCCCACGATAACTACACCCATTCGCTGCCGTAGTTGTTCATATAATTCCAAAGCCTTCTTGATCTAGGTGACAAAAGAGATAATGGCTACGTGAGTTCATAAAGCTAAATTATTCATATTCTTTTTAAAAGTTTTTTCAATTTACTTTGTATGCAGTCACTTTGTCTCTGCAAGTTTATTTTTTGAAACAATAGATATTTCCAGAAATAATAAGAATTATAATACTAAAAAATATTGAAAAACTTATTTTGCATGTTAAAAGCAGCTCACACAATTACTGATCTAAAAATCACAGCCCTCTTTGGTCATATTTTTACTGAGAATTCAATGAACCTTTAATCACAAAAATTCATAAAGAATTTTAATAACTAAATGTAAATAAGACACAGAACTGCTTGATTAAACAAAATGTTCACATATTTAATTCTTTTACTGTCCAAAACATTCAATGCCATTTGTACCTGCCTCGAACAAAACTATGTCGCATATTCACATCTTAAATTTTCCCTGCGTTGCTTTTTTTTCAATTAAATAGCTGATCTACCGTGCCTCAAACACACACATAAATTTTAATTACATATATGTTTATTGAAATACAACTCAGTTATTTCCACTTTTTTTACAAGAGATTTCTTTCAAACATGAACAGAAATGAATCAAATGAATGCAATATTAATCAGCTCTAATTCAGAGTAACTTGTAATTTTTTGGTGCTATAGTTGGTGTTTACCTGGGTGCTTATAGTTTCCAAGTTTGCTTCTTCAAAGACTTGTTGTAAAGCTGTAGTTAGCTCTGCATACTCAACATCTTTAAAGTCAATGCCAGGAAATACATCTTTGACCAGTGCATCGAAACGTGCACAGTCTGCAAATGTAAGCTTTGACATGGTGTTAAGCCGCAGAGCTTGGACCACCATGTGACTTTCATTAACTGGAAATAAAAGCAAAGAAGCAAGATAAGTTTAAGCTGTTTGTTGGATCTTTTTCCCCTTGGTATGTATCAGCACTTCAGCCCATACTGCTAAGACACTGAAGGTGGAATCACAGTGCAGACAACATTCCAGTTTATGTACCACTCTACTTGCACGTTAGAGGAGTGCCTTACAGTAGGTATCATACATGCTCACAGATGCATTCTGTAAATATGACATGGTGATGAAGCTGGCCAGATAGTACATAATAGCCTAACAATGGAAGTAGAACTAACAGTAGCAGTTCCAGATAGCTTACTTGTTAAAGCACTCATTAAAGAAGTTAGGGACCTGTATTCTAGACCTCAATTTGCCAGAGGCAGTCCGAAATCACATCTCTCAAGTGCATCCTAATTAACTATGAATATTCCAGAAGCAAACACTCTCTACAACTCCTCTTGAATCTGAAGTACCATGGAACTGTGTTTTGGGATCAGAATTTCAGTGAACAATATAGCTGTAGTGAATGATATCTGGACAATATCCTAAATAACCGAAAGTTTGGCAAGGTCAACCTTACTTTCTTGATTTGTTTCACTTTTCTTCAGCTGATGAAGAAGACCGCCACAGCCTCTCAAAACAGTCTTCAGTGCTCGCAAACCCCAATCATAGTGCTGCTGTGGTGTCAGAAGCTCCCTAAATTTAAAAACAGCAATATTGGAACAAACTTTAGGTGTCCACCTCAGATTTCTGTTTTGCAAATGAACATGCTCATAACATGGTTTTGGGCAAAAGAGAAACTGATGTGGATATGTAATGCCATTTGAAATGCATTTCAGAGCTATAAGCAATGACACTCTGAAATTTTCTAAGAAGGAGTATAATCAAGAGCTAATGAATGTATTTGTTATTGTCCCTAAGCATTAAATAAAATCTCAGAACTCTGTTCTCTCTGATGTGCATACTCATAACCAAATAGTCACTTCCAGCAACTTCAAGAGCCTAAATTCAACAAAATGCTTGTGAGCATTCATATGCTCACATTTGTATTTAGAGAGCAGAACAGGAACGCAGTACTTAGCCACCTTCAGATTATAACTGCATTCCAGATATTCTCACACCCAAACCTCACAATATATTTGTAATATATTTATTTTATAGGTTAAATAGTATCTACAGAGATTTGCATGGTATACCAAAATTGTATTAACACAAATACTGTATTAAGTGTAAAACTGAAAACTAGACATAAAATCTCAGGTTTGGAGTCATCTGAAGTTTTTGACACATAGCTTTCTGCAATATCCAAGTCATAGAATATTATAAAAGGTTAACAGGACACTTGTGTAGATTGTATCCCCACAATGATGCTAGCATAGACAAGATGGAGAAGAAACAAGGTGGCTGTGAGAAAACCACAAAGATCCATGCTGGAATAAAAGCAGGAGGGAAGAGTATTAGAAAGGTAACATGACTAAGGAAAAAAAAAAAAAAAAAAAAAAAAAAAAAAAAAACACCTTACCTTGCTAGACTAAAAATAGCTACTAATTTTCTACCAAGTATTTTAGCGTCCTTAAAGCCTTCTGAATACAAAATCACTTCTGCAATGAGTTCATTGTCTGGATGAGTCATAGCAACTGGCCTGAAAAGTTGTTTGAGGTTATCAGGCAGTTTTTGTCTTCCTCCATAACCTTTTCCAGCAGGATTCAGGGTGATAAAAATCCCAGAATTATGGTCCATTTCAACCTAGCATTAGAAGTGCATCATAATAGTATATTGTCATATGAAACAGTACTGAGAAACATTGGGTGGACTACATTTAGTTACAGTACACAGATTTTAAGTTTGACCCAGTTGCTCATAAACTATTTTTATCAGAAGAAAATAAGTAAGTTTTGCTGTACCTTTTTGCCAAGCATTTCACACACAGGACTATGTTTCTTCAATGCATGTTGAATTGTCTGAATCTGCATGGATACTGCAGACAATACAGCTTCTTCAAGTCTATTGAACTCATCGAAACAGCCCCAGGCACCACACTTCACTAAGCCCACAAATATGCGCCCCATCGACTTCACATCAATGCCCTTAAAATTAAAGAGAATACTATCAAAAATCAAATAACAAGAAAATAATGGAAGACTTCTCCTCTCATCTATTAAAAAATATGTCATTGGAAATATCCACAAATTTCTAATGGAAACTGACCATTTATTGAAAGTATTTCTAGAATATAATATTGCTTTTTGAAATAAGGGCAGAGATATCCATTTCCTAAATTATACAGAACCATATTCACCTCATCACAATTAAAGACTAATACTTGTCTTCCAAGAAGTCCACCCAAGGCCTTTACTGATTCTGTCTTTCCAGTTCCAGCTGGACCATAGGGATTTCCTCCAAGACCCATCTTCATAGCCTGAGTAAGAGTTAGGTAACACTTATCTGTCAGAGGTGTGTAAACAAGTTTAGGGGAATTACCCTGCAGAAAGAAAAAAAATTATGTTGATTGGTAGACAAATTGTTGATGATGTAATTGCATTACTTTCTTCCATAAGTCATTAATTTGAAAATATAACATAACGTTCAAGATTACTGTCTCATTAAGTGTATGAATTTGATTACAGTTATGAATTTTTCCTGATTTTATATCATATGTCAAAGCACAGTGCAAATTTTCTCTAGAATTACAGAAAAGGGGTCAAACGAAACCACTCCGATAACTAGCAAGGATATTAAAATGTATTTATATGATAATGTAGCTACTTTCCATACAACTTACATTTAACCTATCAATATAAAGAATGAAAATGATTACTCTGTCTTTCAGTATTTCCTATGAAACAGCATGCTAAGGACACAACAAAGTTGAAAATAATTGCAACAGTTGGGAGGCAAACAGCAGAATGTGTGAAATGAGAGTGCTGGACACATTTATAAAAGCCACCAGGTATCAATTTAAAATACCACACCTGATATTCGTAAGTATATTGGAGTTCGGCATCTACCATCTGAACATAACATTTTTGGTCTTTCATATAAAATCTCAGCTGCTTCTTCCAAGCCCAGTCTTCAACATCGTGAACCTGAGCTTGATTCAGCTGCTTCACCACATCAATGTTATGAATGGTATCAAGAATCAGAGCTTTAAGCTTGAGCTCAAGGATTCCCGATTCTGCAAATAACCACAGGAAAAAAATAATCACAACAACGTAGTAAGGAGAATACATGTTACCTCTCTCAAGTTTATTGTTCTTTCTGTTATTGGAAGATTCTATTCAGATCTCACTTTGATTGCATAGATATATTAATTATTCTAAAGCAAGCAGCATAAAATGAGTTTCTGACTGAGAATGTGAATCATCAGGTAACTGCAGTCACATAGAAGTGATAAACACTCAACAGACAAAGACAAAGGTTTTTATAGAAAGCAATTTATCCAGTAGTGTTTACAGCTACATCCACTTCAGTAATCAATGTGGCACAATCTGCTAATTGATCTGCTGAGGATCTGAAAATCAAACTACAGGCACTCTGGAGATTTTACTCAGGGGAATTCGTGTGATGCAGAATGAATGTTTGTTAGCAGATTGGGTACATTAAGTGCACTCTGAGGACATATTGTTGAATTTACACAGGAATAGAACCAAAGAAAATGGGTATAATCAGGCAACTCACTTCAAAATCACACCTATAATCCAAACTAAAAAGTTACTGCAAATGTGTTACACGGTAGATGGAATGAACAGTCTAACTATTTACATTTCTCCAATGGCTACACAAAGAGCACAGAAAGGGAGCTTAAAGAACCACACTTACAGATTGCTGGAGTTAGGCGATACGAATCCTATTCCTAATTAACATCTCAGATGTTAACAGTTCATAAATTCTAAACCAGAATTTATACAGTAAGCAGCTATACAAATGTGGGGGAAGACTGTCAACTACATGTCAAATTGAGTCTTCTAATAAACATAGGGCAAGAGCCATCTCATCTAGTCTACAATACAGAATTTTACATCTGAGGCATTCATTCAATGCCCCACTTCTGGTCAAAAGAGAAGAATAAACACTCAGAGGCATAATTACTCTAACCTATTTAGACAATAAAAGGTTCAGAATAATCACATGCTGAAAAAAAAAAACATTTGTTTTAATATAGAGGTACTCATTAATTACTAGTTCAGATGCAGATGTATACATTGAGTCTCTACAGAGAGACCTGCACAGCCTGGATTGATGGGACCTGCACATGGGTCACAACAACCCCATTCAACACTACAGGCTTTGGGAAGAGTGGCTGGAAAGCTGCTTGGCAAAAAAAAGACCTGGAGGTCTTGGTCAACAGCTGCCTGAATATGAGCCAGCAGTATGTCCAGGTGGCCAAAAAAGGCAGCAGCATCCTGGCTTGTATCAAAAATAGTGTGGCCAGCAGACCTAGGGAAGTGATTGCCCCCCTATGCTTGGCACCAGTGAGGGTGCACCTTGAATACTGTGTCCAGTTTGGGCACCTCACTACAAGACATCAAGGTGCTGCAGCATGTCCAAACAAGGGGAATGAAGCTGGTGAAGGGGCAAGAGGACAGAACTTGTAAGGAGAAGCTGAAGGAACTGGGGCTGTTTCACCTGAGGAAAAGGAGGCTCAGAGGCCTTACATTTCTACAGCTCTCTGAAAATAGGCTGTAGTGAGATGGGGGTCAGTCTGTTCTCCCAAGTACAAGTGTTAGGACAAGAGGAAATGGCTTCAAGTTGCACCAGCAGAAGTTTAGACTGGATATTGGGAAAAATGTCTTCCCAGAAAGGGTTGTAAAGCAGTGGAACAGGGTGCCCATGGCAGCGGTGGAGTCACCATCCCTAGCGGTATTTTAAAAACACGTAGATGTGGTGCTTATGGACATGGTTTAGTGGTGACTTGGCAGTGATGGATTAATAGTTGGACCTGATGACCTTAAAGGTGTCTTCTGACCAAAATGACTCTGTGATTCTATCTAAGATAGAAAAAGACATTGACCTACACAGCTGTACAGATTATTATTATTGGCATGACATAATGTACCTCAACAGCTATTTACCCAGTTCCCATGAAGCATAACACTACAGCACCTTTCAGAAGGTGAAGGCAAATTATCAGTACATATATAAAACAAAAAATATAAAAAGTTATTAAAATTAGAGAAGTCTGTAAATATATAAATGCTCCAAGATAATTTCAAATCTAAATAAAAATCCATTGTTTTCTCTGAAATAATACATCTACTAATCTTGGCAGCAATAGGTGGGTAACTTTATGTAACTCAACTTTATGATGTCAAATCAGGACAGATTAATCTCATTTCCTTTTTAAATAAGCAGAATGTTAAAGACTATACAACCACACAGTTATTCTAAAGCATTATTATATTAATTATTATTTTTATACCTGTACTCTGAGTATCTTCTATATTAGTCTCAATGCTAGTATAATGCTCCAGTTTAGCCATGAGTTCTGTTTCTAATTGTTGCAGGTTATGGTGTTTGATAGCACTTTCAACATCTTCAGTGAACTGAATTTGTTCTGCCAAGGAAAGGATCTTTGGAAGAGAAAGTTCAAGTTACATTTTACAAATGCAGAAGACATAAAGGTTTTCAGTTCACTTGTAATTGCTTATTATGTCTGATATTTTACTGTATCATTTTTAAACAAAGCCACACATTCACTATGCTCTTAATGAACAAATATAGCCATCTTAAACCTGATAATATTTAGCAAAAACTTGCAATGTAATCTAATACAGCAAGTCCCTTAGATGTTCTACAGAATGTGGTAGCAAAGCGTAAATATCTTTTCCCCATTAAAAGACGCAACTACCACACAGCAGGCATGCTGAGCCCACGCTCAACAGGCTCAGGAGCACCTCTGCCTTTTTGTGTCACTGAGCTGCTCATACAGTATTTTGCATTCTGGTTTCTAACACAGTCTAACTACTATCCATAGTGGCAAAATTGTTAAAAAAATAGTAAAAAAAGATGTGTAAGGGTAACTACACTCTGGGGGAGGGAGACAGTAAGCAGCAGACCTGTGAGGGAGTGACAGACAGGATCACTGAGCAAAGGGCACGGGATGATGTGACAGGAAGAGATCACAAAAAAAACCACAAAATTAGGCTTTAAGAAGGTTCACCTCAAGGATCTGCACGTCAGCAAGCAAGTGCCTAAAAGGCACCGTTATGTTGAAATCCCCCGAGCCCGCCCCAGGAGCCGAACGTGCTGAGGTGCCCCTCCGAAGTGCTGGTACAGCAGTATACACACAGTGTGGGGAATAAACATCATCAATTAGAGATCTGTGTGCAGTTGCATGGTTGTGATCTTGTTGGGATAACAGCAATGTGGTGTGGTGGTTCCTGTGGCTGGAGTGTTGCAAAGGAGGGATACAGGCTCATTAAGGAGGACAGGAAGAGAAGACAAGGAGGGAGGATTTGTCCTGTAGGTACAAGAGCAGCTGGATTGCATGGAGCTCTCCCTGCATTTGAATGAGGAGGCAGCTGAGAGTTTATGGGTTAGGATTAAAGAGAGGGCAGTTCAAGGTAACCTTATAGTAAGTGTCTGCTACAGGTCACCTAACTAGGAGGAACAAGTAGATCAGGACCTCTGCAAACTGATAGAAGCAGCCTCACATTCACAGGCCCTGGTCCTCATAGGGGACTTCACCACCCCAATATCTGCTGGAGGGGGAACACAGCAGGACATAAGCAATCCAAGAGGTTCCTGGAGTCCATCAATGAGAACTTCCTCTTTTAAGTGATAGAGAAGGCCAATGAGGAACAGTGCTTTACTGGGCACAGTCCACTGAAGGAGCACAAAGATAATTAAGGGACTGAAGCATCTCTCCTATCAGAAAAGGCTGAGCAGGTTGGGACTGTTCAGCCTAAAGAAGAGAAGGCTCAGCACAGATCTTATCAATTCCTACAAATACCTGAAGGAATGGTGCAAAGACAACAGAACCAGGCTCTTTTCAGGAGTGCCCAGTGACAGGACAACAGGCACGCAACTAAAACACAGGAGGCTCAGTCTCAACATTAGGAGACACCTTTTTACTGTGAGAGTGACTGAGCACTGGAACAGGTTACCCAGGGAGGTGGTGGACTCTCCATCCCTGGCAAGATTTAAAAGTTGTTGGGTGAACCAGCTATATAGGTGGCCATGCTTTCTTATGTCACCAAGTCTTAGCAGCCCTGCATGTGACATTCACTACCAACTAAGATCAAGTTTTATATCAAACTTAATAAATAGATGGCATATTAAATCAGGTGAATTTAAAAAAAACAGCTATCCAAAATGTTTACAAAAGAATTGTAAGAATATATATTTTTTAAGAATTTCTCTATAGTGTAAATGAATAAATTTTATTTTTTTGGATTATTTTTTTCCAAATCCTTACATGTACTTCTTCATGAGACTTCAAAAACTAACTTATTTGGTAAATCTATGACTATACGATGACATTTCTGGACAAAGTATTACCTGGGAAGGAAAGAGCGACGGATCAACTGAACCTTGTGATTTTCTTCCAGTGTCAAGACAGTCAATTAACATTATTTTCAGGGTCTCCTTCATCTCCAAAGCCAAACTGTTTAGCCACACCTTACAAACAGATAAAAAAACCTCAAACGTTATATTACAAAATTTCTCAAAGAAACTTGAACTGGAACTGGAGGTACTATATCTCTTACCTCCACATCATGTGACAGAAGAACTTTATTTCTAAGTGGCACAGTTTCTCCTTCTGCAGATTTCATGGCAACTATGTATTTAAATTCTTCATCAAAGCTCACACTGTTAATGCCTATTAAACAGAAAACAGCAAAGAAGTTATAAATTAAGTCAAACATTAATTCCTTAGTGTCTAGTAGTGAAAAGATGGAAAAAAAGTCTGCAAAAGATAATTTAGCTTTGAATAAGCTTATTTCTAAATAAGTGCATTTCACAAATAAAGAATAATGCATTACCAGCAAAAAGTTTCTTAAGATGAGACTGGATAACCAGAGGATTTGTGGACTGTCCTAAAATTTCTAGTAAGTCATCATCCCCAATGAAATAGAATCTTGGAAATGCTGAGCGCTTTTCCTACATAAAAACAAACCAATTTTGTTGATTTAAATTCAAACTTATTCACTTCCTTTATTGAAACTACATTAATGTCAGCTGTACCTCCAAAAACTCGATTAAAGATCTCTGGCATCTCTGAAGCTGGTCAAGTATGGTAATTAAGGTATTTCTTATACCAGTCCGAGCATTCAGTGATGTGATTCTATTGTCACTCTTGATATCTGACATTATGCATCTTGAGAGAAAAAACACAGAATCATTCCTAAAACAATCATTACAATTTTGATTTATTTACATCTGAATATGATATACAAGTACTTATGCAAATAAAAATTCAAGCACAGGTAAATATAAATATCTGATATGTGATTTTCAGTTTTCAGTATTAATGACAAAACCTTTCAGATTTTGCATCAATGTCTCTGCAATGTAATTTAATAACAGCTGTTTCTTGATAAATTTCTCTACCCAAAACCAAGAAAATTTAATTCTTAATTTTTATTCCCTTCTAAGAAGTCATTTTAACTCAATTCAATACAGATAATAGTATGTATCTTTCTAGATTTATAAAATCTCCTCCCTTTTTATCTCCTTGACCTGTTTGCAACAAATAAACCATGCATTTCTCCCAAAAGTCCATCTGTGCCCATGTACAAAAAAATAAGTCACACTCCATAACACTAACCTGAAGTCTTCATCAACTCTGTTAAAACGAGTGTGTTCTTTGGGCAGAGCTCCACGGCCAAATATCGGTTCCAAATAGACCCATTTCCTTTGAATTTGGTTTAAATTCTGCAGATACTCATCCAGCTCAGCCAGCTTTTTTTCCCAGATGGACACTTTATCTTCAAAACCTTTGTAATACGGAGAGTCTCTGAGGGACTGTAGAAGACAGCGATGATCTCCAACTTGGTTGACTATGTCCTTCCAGTCTTTAATAAGCCTGATAGTCTTCCCTTGGCTATCTTCATAATCTGTTAACGTAAAGACAGCTGCAACTCCCCAGAGTTCAAGCTCACGTAATGCTTCTCTGATTGTGACTTCACCTTGGGCCCGACAATTCAAATCCTATTTAAAAGCATAAACAGATTTCATTTGGAATTTGAGCTTACAATGAACTTTCCATTCAAAAATATAATGTAAATCCTATTCCTACAGTAATAAAAATATAAATATGCATGCAAACAAGATATACTACATGAAATAAACCATAAAATAAAATAGAATACCTTCATTTGAAATTACTCATACCTTAAGTTCTGCTGCCTTTTCTATAATAGCGTCTGTCACTTTTAGCAGATCTCCAAATAACAAACTCTCAAGTGTAGTGCCTCGTGGAAGACCCAGAAGACGAAAGAGATCCAGCCAATGGTCTGGAGAAAGATGTTCTCCTCTTACATATTTTAGGAGTGGAATTATCACCTACAGGAAAATTGTATATGTGAACCCATCTAGTCTTTATGAAAATTGCATCTGTTTGGTTACATAGTGACATGCTATTCAAACAGAACAAAAATTTACATTCTTAAACTGAACTACATTTATTCAATTCCTGGATTTAAAGTTTAGAAGTATAACTCTGAGGAAAAGTCATTGCTAAATGTATGCATATGTAAACTGCAGTGACCCTCCTGTTCACCCTAAGGAACTAAACGGTTCAGAAAAATTGGTGAAATGCTCAAAACAGGATCAGAAAATATTCTGTAAAATTATAAGTGCTTTTATTATAAGAACTGAACAACGAGCAACAGAATGAAGTATATAACCCAGTAATAACAAAACATTTTTTGTTTAATAACCCTTTTTGTAATTAGCATCTTACTTTATACTTGTCCACTTCTTTTTGCAACTTCACTGTCATTACAGTATGTTCTTCCATCTTCCTCATTCTGTCATGCCAGTTAAACAAATATTCTTCAAACAGGTATGTTTTACTCCTGCATGAAAATCAAATATAAAAAGATCCATCAACTATGACCACATAGATATGTTCGTGAAAAATAAAGTAACAAAAATCTTACCTAAAAGTAATCCAGTCCTCTTTGGCTTTTTCCTGAAAACCTTGATAAAACTCTTCATACAATGCCCAGACTTCTGCACAATTCTTAATATCCTGACATACAACTTTTGACAATGAGAAGTCGGGCTCTTCCAGTTTGAAATGATGGCATTCTTCACTGCATAAAAAATATCATTGCATTATACATCACATTATTCCATTACACACTTATGGTTTAAGAGATGGTATCATATGGAAATAATTACATTTCTTCAAGAGAAGCCATTGGCTTAACTGTATAACACTGCCAAGAAATGCAATTTCCTTTTAATCTCCTTCTTGAACAGAAATAATAAAGGCATACAAGGGATAACTCTCCTACACAGAAATCTTCTTCTGTAACACAGTTATTTTCTATAAACTTTCATTTCTTTCTCATTTATGAGAAAAGTGAGTTACTTTGTGTCTCCAAAAACATAGCTTGAAAGAAAATAATTTTTAATTAATTGTCTCTGCCTGTTAGGTAAAAAGAATATGCTCATTTTATTTACTATCACATTTAAGTGCCAAGCTAATAATTTAAATAAAAAATCTTGTCTACTCAGGATCTGTTATAATGAGCTCATTGGAAGTAGGTACCTGGAGCAAAGATCCTTTCCTTCTGCACAACAATCTATCAGATATGACACTTAAGAAATGGGAGAGGTGAGCTCTTGCCCACTTAAATTACAAGAGGAATGAAGTAATAACTCCCCCTCCTTGGATTAACAACCTGAACCTTCTCTCAGTGAGAATTTCAGAAGTCAGAATCGAGCCTTTCATGTACAGACTCCCTTATATGAAAGCCTAACAGATTTCTTGAATTTTTCATTTCAAAGAACTCTAGAAAAAACTTAGCCTGAGAAATCCATGTCATGTAAAATCAACAAAAAGGACCCTAAAAAATTAATTAAAAACACGTAATACAAATAAAATGAAATGCCTTATATTGCCTGTTGCGATAAAAATCCACTAACAACTCTGAGATCCTACTGCTGCAAAAGATATATATATAAGTGAATAAGGTACACAGGAAAATAAACAGACATACATGAGCTTTTCTTTCATGGTTTCAAGTTCATCAAATTCTTTTTTTTTTTCTTTTATGATCTGAGCACTTTTCTCAAGCACATCCTGATCACCTGTTTCAATGACATCATCACTTGGCTTTAGCTGATCCCAGCGAGCTTTAAACTTTTCCAGGTCTTGAAGATAAGCATTAATACGTGAAATCACATTTCCTTTCATCATTTCAATCTGTAAGCAAGAGTTAAAATGAAATTACTTCAATGATTTGCCACTACAACTATGATCAAAATCAAAGTATCAACTTCAAAACTTGATCAAAACTTAATAATTGCAACTTGGTAAAAATGAAATTCAAAAAACTTAACATCCAAAGAAATAGTTCTTCTTCAGTCTTCTGCGTTGTTTTGTTTTTTTTTTTTTTTTTAAAGAGGGCAGGGTTTTTTTTAAATTATGTTGGTAACATAAGCCTATTTATTTGGCCTATGCTACCTATTTAGCCTGCATCTTAGAGCAGATAGAAAAATTAATATGTTTGTATGGAACATTGATATCTTTAGTAGAACTTCAGATGACTTCAGCAATTTGGCTATGACAGAACTGCATATAGTTTAGCAGAGTTCTATGAAAAGAAAATAAGAAGCATCAGTACTAAAATCATGATAAAGTAATAAAAATTTAATCTTTTAACTGATGCTGGTTTTCTCTGTTAAGTATTGCATTCATTAAGCCACCTCTGTCACCAGAAAGTTGTCTGAGACAGAAGTCCAACAATGTAACATTAATTTCAGCATCAGTTTGACAGGTTTCCCCTAGCTATTGTTTAAACAGTTTAAGTATTCTTCCTTTAAAAGCTCTCCCTCAACTCAGTAATCTTGCTGTTAACAAAGAACTGAGAACATTGACGGACTTATCTAAGAAAGCAATATTTCTCCAGACTTATTCAAAATAATTTCAACATAGATAAAAAAATAGTCTTTCATTGTCACCTGTTCTGTAATCATAAGCTGGTGGCTTTCCATCATTAATTCAAACTTATCCCATGTAGCTCTTAGGTTACTGATAGTGTCCAAACCTGCACCAGCCACAGTTCGCAAAAGTTTGTTTTTATCTTCAGCTTCTTGAAAGAGGAGAAGAATCTAAATTCAAACAGATTAAAATATGAGTGTATGTAAAAATTCACCAAATCCTGTTTATCCAAACTATGAGCAAATACGTAAGAATCGTTAAGCGTGTATGCACAGATTATGTGGCTATATACAGCTCCTTTTTTTGGTACTGTTTATAGAATAACATTAAAACATTGGGAAAAATAGTATCTGAGGTATTCAGAGAAATTCTAACTCTTGACCCTGATACCAGCTATACAGAAGTGAATGCATACTATGAAACAGGTAAGTGCCTCTTTGTATGTTGCAGAGATCCTCTCAACAAGACTGAGATGGAAGAGCAGCAGAGCGAGAGCACTGAGTAACTACGCGTATGCGTGTGCTGCTCTGGCTGTGCCAGAGTTCCCTCACAGCAGCTCACGGGGAGCCATGGTTTGGATCTGTGATGAAAACAACTCTGACAACGTGCTAATGCTGCACTTACTGCTGAAGAGTGCTTGCACAGCATCAGGGCTTTCCCTGGTTCTCATTCTACTCCCCCACTCCCAGTGAATAGATTGGGGTGTGCAAGAGGCTGGGAGGGGACACAGCCAAGCAGAGATACTCTGTGTCATACGCCAAGCTCAGCAACAAAGTGGGGTGGAGTGGGGGCTAGGTAGTTAGACAGCTTTTGCTCAGGAACAGGCTGGGCATCAGTCAGTCCATGGGAGGTAGGGAGAGATTGCCCACTTACATGTTTTCTTCCTTTCCTTCTCTTCTTCCTTTTCTTCTTTCTCGGTAGCTAAGATATATGCTGCAGCACCCCTTGATAAAGTTTGCCTGCTTGATTGTGGAATCTCTACTGGCTATGGGGCTGCTGTCAACACTGCCAAGGTGGAACATGGCTCTACTTGTGCTGTCTTTGGTTCAGGAGGAATTGGGCTGGCGGTTATTATGGGCTGTAAAGTAGCAGGAGCATCACGGATCATTGGCATCGAACTTAACAAGGATAAGTATGCCAAAGCCAAAGAGTTTGGAGCTGGTGAGTACATTAGCCCTCAAGACTTCAAGAAACCCATACAGGAAGCGCTGATTGAGATGACCGATGGTGGTGTGGACTTCTCATTTGAGTTCATTGGTAACGTTGGAGTCATGAGAGCTGCCTTGGAAGCCTGCCACAAAGGCTGGGGCATCAGTGTGATAGTTGGAGAAGCTGCTGCTGGTCAGGAATCTCCACACGGCCATTCCAGCTAGTGACCGGGCGGACATGGAAAGGGACTGCCTTTGGAGGCTGGAAGAGCACAGACAGTGTACCAAAACTGGTGACTGAATACATGCCCAAAAAGATCAAGATTGATGAATTTGTGATTCACACCCTGCCTTTTGACAAAATTAATGAGACTTTTGAGCTGATGCATAGAGGAAAGAGCATATGAACTGTCCTCAAACTTTAGAGCCAGATGTGGATGTTC